GAGACTTTACAGTGGTCCTGAGATCCTGGTTTACCGTAAATGTCAGCCAGCGATAGTCTGACATTGAAATATGGTCCGAAACTTGCCAGTTTTGTTCGGCTACGGGCGTTAATAAATGTCGGCTCCGTGCCTCTGTTCAAGATTGTTAGATCTTTCTTAATAATATATTCATATAGGGTCTTACCTCGAGCGTTGATATACTTGCTGCCACAGGTCAAGTGGTGAGTCGCAACCCAATATGAGCTCCACTCTCTGGATGAAACAGTGATCCACTAGTACCTCCATTTCTCTGGTCGGTGGTTGGGTGGCTGCATCTGAAGGGAGGTACACCGATGCGAGTATCAACGCCATATATTTGCCTTTTCCAACTGGATATTCAACTTTAACCGCAGTGAGGTCTGAGGTGCTGAATTGTTGTGCCATCGGAAAGGCTCTGTATTTCCTAGGAACGTAGATAGCCGTCCTAGGTTGCTGATTGCTTGGTAAGCTGAAAATTTGACCAGTTAAACTACTGAAACCAGTAATTTTGGTCTTTATTATCCAGGGCTCCTGGATCAAAGCTATTGCCTCCTCCAATATATCAAGGTGGAGACAAAGTGTTGCCGTTGCCGCCTTTTTATGTTGGAGGTTGAATTGTATTATTCTTATATTTTTTCCAACGTCCTTGCCCATGAGACAGTTGTTGGATTCAAGTTACCTTCAGAGGTCCATCTGCTCCCTCACTGGAGGGGGAGGTGGCCTCGCTGTTTTTGGGTGCCTTCTTCGGCAGGTCATCGACTGTCATCTACTTAGATACTTCGACTTCCTTTTCGGGACCCATGGTGGTCTTGGGGTCAATATCCACTTCTGTTGGCTCGATTTCCGAGGACCTAGGGTCTCCAGAGGTACCCTCTGCTCCTTTCTTTGTTACCCTAATAGTCAGTGAGGTAAACGCGTAGCTTAACCTCATCGACTTCTTCTTTAGAACAGCCATATCATCGTTTTCGATCCCGAAGACGGAGATGTGCCCTTGTGGGTTTATCTTCGCCTCATGATGGGAAGTGCACCATCTTGCTACCGTCAGGTCAGGGTTCTGCGCCTTCCGCCGACCCAGCATCCTCTCCTTTTTTTCGGATGTCGTCTTGTGGACGTCCTATGGGCGGTTTGCTGTTGTTGCTGGAGGCAGAGAAGATGATCTTGTCCAGCTCCTCCAACAGTTGTTTTTTGATGAGACTCTCTCGTTCTGCGGTAACCTTAACGTACGGGTTTGTCTCATCTATGATGAAGTGTCTCAAGGCGGCCTCCACGAAGGTTTTGGAAGGTGCAGCGACATTACTATCGCTGCGCAGCTTCTTCAACCTTCTTGGGGTTCCCTCTGTGGAGGTACTCGCGTGAGGGCGCTTTCCTGCAGTGGCAGCCGGTTCCATGCCTTTTTTCAAGGCGGAGCTCTTGGCGCCCGCCGCAAGAGGTGCCCTTGTTGTTGGAAATGGAGTGGGAGAGGGGGAGGGTGCACTCAATAGTTGCTGCCTTTCCTGCCTCTTTCGCTCTCTTTCTCCTCTTGGCCTGGGCGCCGCTAATACGCTTACGCCTTGCTTTTTGTGTTACATCGCGAGATGGTCTGGTATGTCCAGCCTCATTCTGAGCGGTAATTTGGGGTGAACATTTCTGTTCATCCCCAGCACCCGCCTTAAATTGAGGTGAGCATTGCTGTTCGGCCTCGGGATTTGTTGTTTTTTTGTCTGTTTGTTTTTTGTCCTTATTCATGTATGTTCCCACGAGTAGCAAGGGAAGGGTGGGTCACCTCTGGCAGAGCCCCGCATTACCAGGAAGACTAATTACAATGAGGTTTTGCTCGGTTCCTTAAGGGGATCGTTCGTAACCGCATATCACCCTTCAGTCATTCAGCTGTCGACACGATTCCTTACACCTTAGCTTGGGTAGGCTGGTCCGCGGTGGCATATTTTGCAGGGCTTTTGGGGGGTTTCAGTTCCCCTCACCCTAGTCCAGTCCCCTGGCCGTTCCCCTATCCGCCACCTTGGGACGCGCCCGATAGGTAGCTCAACCCACGGGCAATTGTTTGCTTGAAAAAATAAATTTTTAAAGCAGAAGTAGCAAACAGGGCGGCTATCTGTACACTTTCTGCCATAAGAAATAAAAATTCAGCATTTACTTAATACAACTCCACTATCATCTACGATTTACTGTTAGACGGCTTTCTGATGTAAATTGATTGGATCTGATGGCTAATGTTACTCCTAATAAAGGGTTGGTACAACCTAATATTCTTACTAGTTTGGGTCAAACCATGCATTTCAGTATAGGCGTACTAATAACTTCTTCTGTTAGTTTAGAACGCTATTTTTCGGAAAATGCTCATCAAAAAACAGAATTGAACGCCAATCATAATAATGTGCCACTCCATCCCATAGCATCTACGCCTCCTAGGGGATTGAGCTACGAGAGCTACAAATAGTCCTTAAAAGTGTCCTCCTGGACAATGAAATTGAACTGTTTTTTCGATTCTTGATAATATTTATTGGAAGATAAATATTAAGGGTGGAAAGTTTTCAAATTGACACCCTGTATACAAACGTATATTCATATCAAGTCAGTTTGATAGAAACATTTGAAATACATGAAACCACACTATCTCGAAATAGAGTTCGGCATGAATAATGCTTACCAAACACTGCTAGAGAAAAGAGAGTCAAGAGAAAGAGGTCTGAATGGTGTGTTCAGAAAGACACAGCAGAACGTTGCATAAATATGTTCTTTAAACTCTGCCACCGAATAGAAGAGGTGCTGTAAAGGGAAAATTTCTCATATTTTTCTTGAAGGGAACAAACACGAATGACTTGATTTCCAAGTTAGAATATTGTAAGCGTGATAGTTTGATGATTTCCTTTGGGATACTTTGAAACTGTACAGAAATCATCAGAAATCACCTGGGACTTCATGTGATAATAATATATCTAGAGACTTCATAGTGAATTGTATTTTGTGGTTCATGCTGTATATAATAATAGTTTTATCGACGTGGAAACTGCTTTTTCTGTTTTTATTTGGTTGTGTGCTTCGGTATGCCAAGTTATGAAAATAGATCGGAAGTAAAGTTGCGAATATTATTGAAAATTCAAAGTTTACAGCACTTGTGGGAGAAATATTGTATTGCTGGTGTATTGATGTATTTGGGAAACTGGTATAAAGTTACCGGATGTGAACTAATCCAGGCTCCCCCCTTTAACATTTCGTCTCTCCTGATACCAATATGGAATTTTTAAAGTCAAATTGTATCACAATTTGGATGTATTGTATTAAAAATAGTTTTGTGGCATCTCTAGTTTCACAGAAAATGACTTTGTAATTTCAAATAAAACACCCAGTATGTTAAATATGATAAATATGTTTTATACGTTAACCAGCTATCGCACTTCTACGAACGACAACCCGCAGATGTCGAAACTTGTGCGAGCTGAGGACTATCGAGGTCTTACCTTTTAACGTGTGATTCGTGATAACGTGAAATATTCAACAAATTCAAGCCTGGTGTAACGCAAACTCCTTGTGCTTCAACCTAAACAAAATAAAACTAGTTACTTTCAAATGTATACTAGACGATTTAGGTTTGGATAACCACTACATAGAAAACAAACAGCACACTAAATTCCTAGGCATTCACATAGACAATAAATTACATTTTAAAGAACATGTATCCCATCTGAGTGAAAAAGTATCTAGTGAATGTTATGCTATTAGAGTGATATCAAATGAAGTAGGGTACACTACAGCTAGAATGGCTTACTTTGCACTGATCAAATCTCATATTCGCTATGGAATAGCTTTCTGGGGACATTGTAGTTTACAGTTACAGAATATGATATTTAAGCTACAGAAGAGGTCTTTGAGATACCTTACAAAGTCTTAGACGAGGGATCACTGCAAGTCTTTATTCATCAGCCATAAAATATTAACTGTCACCAATTTATACATAATGCAAACAGTATGCTCAATTCATAAAAATAAAACTAGCATGTACACTCACGGAACAGATTGTCACAACACCAGACAGAACCATATGCCTTACTTACCTATTCCAAAATTCACCTTGACTCAGCATTCTCTGATTTATGAAAGTATTAAAGTATATAATCACCTTCCTACCATTATAAAAAATAGCACAGATAACCTATAATGTTCACCTTAACTCATCTGTCTTCTTAATGATTTATTTGTGAAATTGCTATGTCTGTATTTTTTATATTTCATGTCATGTATGTTTTATTTGTGAAATTGCTATGTTTGCATTTTTTATATTTTATGTCATTCATTTGATTTGTTTACAAGACTTTGTCAATAAGATACTAATCTTCCGACAATAAAGCATATTGATTGATTGATTGATTGATTACTTACACGGGTTGGACGATAGCAAGTGATACTCGAGCGTTCAGCCTGCGGCTTAAACCATCGACTCACACATCGGTCGATTGACTGAGTGAACAAAGCACCCACGTCGAAACACCCGGCTAGCGACCGACGGGTATATATTATTGGATTCAGTAGTTCATTTTACATACAAACATTCTTTTTTATCGGAAAAATACTACTGAGTATTTTTTAATTTTGTCTACTTGGCTATGATCAATGAAAAATATTTGATTTTCTCCCATGATCTATATGGAAATCAAATCAGTAATTCTTATGATACCCTTTGAATCACTAAAACTCCTCAATGATAACAGAAAAAAATAAGGGACGAGTCTGAATCTGTTTACATATTATGAATAATACAGACATTATTTCAAAGTATTAGGAAAACCCCTTCACTATCAATACTCGAATTTGTTATTGAAGAGCTTCTGATAAAGTTCATATTAAAACGTACCGCAATCAAATTTCTGAGACAAGATTCTTGAGTTACATTCTTGGATAAATCCATCTCGACAGAGAATGGAATTTTAGGTCATTTGAAAAGTAGGTGAATCGGATATTGAAGAATGTTTAACAAAGTCAGTTTTCAGATTGGAATCTGTTCTGCAATATGAGAACAATGCCAATACATTTAAGAATGTAAGGATATGAATGATTACCAACTGTTTGATTTGAGGTATAAAAGCCAGGAATGTTGAAAATATTTTATAGTCATCAAATAATCTGCAGATATGAATGTCTCGGTAGGTTGAAATTTTTTATGATTTTTGTTTCTAGGTTTAGAATAATGAATAGAAATATATTCGAAATTTTTGTAGGTATATTTGGTATTTTCTATGTTGTTCGCGATTGTGAATTGTTTGTCATATCCACAGCGACAAGAGAAGTATCCAAAACCACAATATCCAAACTACAGGGAGTCGAAAATAGTGAAACATGAGAATAATATGGGGTTGTCAAATTATAATTTCTCGTAAGTATTACTGTTTCATGTATCATATTTCATAAAATGAAGACAACTTTGAATTATTCACTTGACAAATAGATATAATTACTCAAATGACATTTTGCAGGACTCATCATAATTCAAAACTTTTTCTACTTTTTGCTTTGTGTTTGATGATGAAAAATGGTCAACTTAGAGTTTACTTCTAGTGACAACAGTACATTTTTCTAATTCAATATTTCGATTTTTGTTGAATCAAGCAAAAATATGTTCAGAAATCCAAAAAGAATTAGTGAACAACGCAAACAGATTATTCATAAATGTGATTTTCTTGTTTGGAATTGAAAGAAATGACTTGAATAACCTAATTAGTTAAATAATTCCTCTAATTGAACAAACTAGTATTACCAAATGATATTTGTTACAATTTCCATAATATTTAGGTATATATGCAATTATTGAGTATGAATATTTGTATTAGATGAGTTTTTGTTCTGGATCTGACAGAAATATATTGGTATCATATACTCATGCATTCGAAAATATTTCATTAGTATACTTGAATTTTGATTTTTTCTTCGAAAGCTTTTCGTTCTTCATATAATAACGAAAAAGTAGAAAGTCATGAAACTGAACTTAGGTATTATTATTTCTCGAAAATTTTCAACAGGTCATTCAATTTTGTTATATTTGAGTTGGAGTGGTAAATTGTTCGTAAGATCATTCGTTCGTATTAGAAAATAGAAATGATCTAACTCTATCCAGTTTCAAAATACTTCCGTATGCGAAGGAAATATAATCGTTTCCGAAAAATACGATAATATCAAGAAATCATTAGTAGAACTTCTCTGAATTTTCATATGAAAAATGATATACCATCAGCTTCATTCTCCGAGGGTTATTTTGTGTGGAAGAGTGAAAGTTTTATCGAAAGCTTCAAATCTTCCTCAGTTTCAAAACTAGCTAAGACTAATGAAGAAACTACAAGTGAATTGAGCGAACAGAAATTTCCACTTTGGGAAATTTTCTTTAAAAAAAACGGTAGTTGGGTATTTAACTTAATAATAATACGTTTATTGTCCATCTAAATAACAAGATAATAACAAAAAACAAAATACAATAGAGAGAAATATAAAAACACTTTGTATTTGATTGCAAATGGCTTTTGGTTCAGATCGCGAATTTGCATTCGCATCTGCTCTTCCACTAATGCCGAAAATGTATAAAAATAAATAAATGAGGGCTTGAAGAGAAGAAAAAAAAAAAGAAAAGGTAATATAAAGATATAGATATATGAATAGCTAAAACCTTTTTCAGGATTCTTGCCGCGGACCTAGTTATTCTGAATGCTGAACAGATGCTGTTTAAACCTACTTTCATTTAAAACAGTTTCTAACTTGTTAAAACAATTGTTTTCCCATTTATGGAGATAATTTATTGTGGAGGAGATATTATAGGAAAAAGATCGTTTGAATATTTCCTTTTCATATACAGGAATGTTTAGCACTGTCTTTTCACGCAAATTCAGGTTATGAATATATATTCTGTAAGACAAATGTTCATATAAGTAGAGGATTCCTATATTTGAATATTCTGAAGAATATGCATGTTGCATGAAAACGTCTACGATTGAACATATTCAACCACTTCAAATCTGCTAATTTGTGAGAAATTCTGAACCTTCTTCTGATATGAAATATTAACCTGATACAAGAGTTTTGAATTTTTTGTATGCGACATCTGTCGTTCTTGTCTAAACATGCGTGATAAACAGCGTCACAGTGGTTGAAATGAGATAAAACTAGTGAATCACATAAGTAGCATTTTCTTGACATCTACATCCAAATATTGTCTATGTGGATATATGAATTTCATTGATGAATAAGCAATTTTAGGTTTGTAGGTTATATGTTCATGAAATCTTAGTTTATGATCTAAAATCAACCCCAAATGTTATATAGTACAAAGTATTTTATGATTGATGGTGTCAAATGCTTTTCAATAATACAACAGAATCAAAATGGTGGCTTTAATTTTATCTATAGCTTTGATTATGTCATCTACGATCTCTAATAATGCTGTTGCATAACTGTTACCTTTTCTAAAACCTGTTTATGTGGGAAAATATTGTAACGATTGATGAAATAGTGCATTTGATTTTCCATTACTTTCTCTATAATTTTGGAACATGTCGGGAGAATACTTATTGATCTCAAATCATTAAAATTTTGTGGCTGATCATTTTTTGGTATGGGTATAACTTTTGCACATTTCCATGCATCAATATAAATTGAAATAGACTGTTTCTTAAACGCGAAATATATACGAGTACTCATATAATCACTTTTGAAAAGTATTCTATTTTTCCTTCAGACTGATCACTGCAATTCAATAATGCGACTTGTATTGTTCTAACAAGATAAGATTATTATGAACAGAAATGATAATTTGAGATTCACTTATATGTGCAGTTTTATACCACTTCAAATTCTTGAAATAGTTCGAGACTACGAATTTATCGACTGTGAAAATGTCTGATGGTGCTATTATTAATTTCATTCTTCAATAATTGTTTTTATAAAACTTTACTTCAGAAATAGTCCAGTAATGAAAGACAAACATTTTGCAGATTTTTCACCTAACAGATGAAATTTCGGATGTGGTGTATTTATTGGATTATCATTATTTATATATTATATATTTATATATTATGGAGATATTGTGATAAAGTACATATAAGAAATCGAGGAACACTGGGTTAGAAACTAGTTCAAACATCGCATTCAATCTGACCAACTGGTATAAATACCTAAAATACCAGTGTTCAAAATTCATTGTTATATTCACTGAAGAAAAGAGTTCAAAAATACAAAAATCAACCCCATGTTCACACAGTCAATGTTCAGATTCATTCACTATAGCACCGAGTCTCTTTACAAACTGGAATCAACCTGAAATTATGATCAGTATAAGATATGTTATATCACTGGAAATTAACCTCATATTTTTGATTGCGAATTCGTTAACACTAGGTTCTTACGCGACTTTACAACCTGAAGTTACTTGTTGCGTAGTGCAGATACAGAATCGACGTTGTGCCAGACATTTTTCTGGATTTTTCCGTTTTGTATCTTTTGTCAATTGGAGTATATCCTATATATTAGACACGCAACTTCATTTGACACATTTCAATACTGTGATAGATTTCATGCAAAGAATGGTAGAGGTATCAGTTTACTTTCAACCATTCCCAAAATACTTGACGACCCTGTCATAGCTCATTGTAGTTGAGCTCAAAACAATACGAATTTCATGAAAGTCAAATTACGCAAATCAATTTTAGAATTATATTTTCCATTATAAAACTTATATATGAACTATGTGAACCCTTATTGACAGCCAGTTCCCTCTCAGCCCCTTACTACAACTACAAGGAATATCATTTGAGAGGATTATATGAAATATTTGAGAATCAATATTTAAACCATACTATCTATATCGATTTTTCGAAGGCTTCTGATAGAACAGGTTGTCATAATTTGGTCAGGAAACTTGTATCCATTAGATTTTCAGAAGGCGTGTACCTACTCCATTGGTTGAGAAGTTTTCCGACAAACATGACTCAATGAGTGAAGATCAATAATTTTCTATTAGATTCTGTGACAGTGTCATGGAACCCCCATTGAACTTACTACGGTCTTCTGTTTTCCAACTCGAAAGTGATATTGTGGTTAACATCATGCATCGATGTACTTCTGGTGATTACCGTATTATCGAGCCCAGAACAGACTAATTACCATCCTCTAGCAGATGGTTTGAATTAAATAGTGTGGAATAGATCTAAATAAAGACAAATGCACTGCTCGTTAAAAATTCCTTTGACTCAGGTGATTATTTTTTATTAACTACATATCTAAAGTGTCTCAATTTTTTTTTCATGTGCTTTGGTTATGTTTTCAGAATCAAAAAAAGACTTCTCACTCAATACAAAATAGATTTCATTTCTTTCATTTCGTGCGCATCGAATTGCATATTCAAAAAAATTTAAGAACATGTTCAAAACAAAATTAAAAACATAATTGTTTTCGGACAGACCCGAAAAGTAGGGTATGTTACTTCATTGACCTTCAATGAAAAGTCGACTTGTTCAGAAATACTTCATTTCTTTTTAGACGTATTTCTGAAGATATCGACTATTCAGAAGTTCTGAATAAAATAGTATTCAGAATTGAATAAAAAGTCACTGGGTATGATAAAATTGCTCTCTTTGAACATTTGAACTGAAAAAATACGAACAACCGTCAAGTGTCAAGACTATACAGATTGGCAAACAACTCCTTCGGAAACATTCTTGGCGTATCTTGGACGATACCTAAACATTCACTTTCTTTTGTGTATCCGTCAATTCCACCTAAAAATTGTGTATTACTGGGTTAACGTTTCTGATATATGTTAGTATTAATTATTTTTTATGATAATTCTACCACATATTATACAATACTATATCTTAAAAACGCAAAGTTTGAATGTATAATGAAATTGTCTGTAAAATGATACCATCTGTACAAGAACGGTTGTTGTACATGTTTCAGTTACGAAACCAGTGATGGTTCTCAGCGACAGGAGGAGGCAGAATTGACAAATGCAGGTAGTGAAAAGGAGGCATTGGTCGTTCATGGTTCGTATACTTATGTAGGAACAGATGGAGTTACATACAAAGTTACATACGTTGCCGATGAGAACGGATATAGAGCATCAGGAGAGCACTTACCAAGAAATATTTGAAGTTTTTCATATATGATACGATATGAGTTTGAACGGTGTATATATTGATGTTTATTTTTTGTACATGCTGATAGATGCTAATAAATAGCGAACGCAAAATAACTTATTTTTATTTCAATTTTTGGTTTATTCGAACTAAAGGTAGAATTCTGAGCGATATATGAAAGGAGTCATATTAGGATGAAAGGGAAATATTCTCTTTTCTAGTTTGTATATGCGAATGGATAAAATTATATTCCATGATCACTCTCATCGTTTTCTGGGAAAGGAAGGTTTCGGATTTCTTGTTCTCCACTTTCATACAAAAATCAATGTCCTCTCAAAATATACCCGTTTCAACCCAAACTCTCATCGTATTCATAGTAATCATGATCTTTGGCTGGAAAATTCTATATACAAAAATCAAATTTACGAATGATTCCTTCACAGTATTCCGATTTAGTGGGTTTGAGGTAATTTTTGTGTGGAACTCCATAAAAATTTACCAATTGAATCATATATTTCATAGTACAAGATATGTTTCATGAATATAGGAAAAAACGTCAGTTATGTTTTCGTTTACTGTTGCGTAGGTGAACAAAATAATCTTCAACTCATACCTTGGAACTAATCATAGATTGGCAAATTGATAACAATTGTGTTTGAATTATTTTCAACCGCAACTGGGCCTTGAGAATTTCCTACATCAGAATATTTTCTGAAACGTCAAATTTATTGAACTGACATTAAGTTTTGAAATATATAGTTTTTATGTACAACTGTCATTGAAATGACATTTTTAAAGGATGGTAAGAGTATGGGCATTAACATTTAATTCTTAAAGTGAAGAGGACGATGCTTTAACGTTGGAGCTAGCTGTTGGCATTATTCTTTCATCAATAGCTTTTCAATAAGAAATAGATTGATTGATGGATGTAACCCTAAGCTACTGTTATAGACTTCCATCCTCCGTGCTTCTCAATATCCATTATATTCGCTCCTGATTCTGCTAGCAAAAAAGCAGAAGACCTTCCGGGAGGTTCAGAAACTCAGCAATGTTAAAGGGTAATTTTTCAAACTTGTTGATACCAACTGGGTTGGCAATGCTTTTATTTAAAAAAAAAACGTTGATGATTGATAACAGAAGGGCGTAATGCAATGTATTTATTGAAATAGTCAATGCTTTTTTCAACAATGCAAAAAGAAAGACCTATTTTCGTTTTTGTATTTGAAATTTGAACAATCAATGAATTATCCATTAATTTAATGCCTTCTATTGATAAATGGCGCAGCCGGCAGGCTTCATATATTTGAACGCCTTATTTATAAACATCTGGACTTGTTCAAACGTAAGAGTTTTTGATTTTTTGGGCCTATAACTTTCATTTTCCGCTAAAAGTGCTATTACCTTGAAATATTTGCTTGTAGTGACACCAATTTTAACGAGCGCACTCGACTTTATCATTGAAAACTTGCTACCCAAAGTTGACGAGTTCCATATTTTTGATTTCCCTTCTAGATACGCTAAGAAGACGGTTTCGCTGAAATTTCCTTAGACGATTTTAAGTCTACACCAGCTTAAAAAATTGTAATATGCGATGTCGTACTGGTAAGCCAATATTTTTGGTAACAATTCAATTGAAGCTTTCTTTGCAGCCTCTTCAATATCGTTAGGAACTTACAATTCCTCACTATTGTTCTTTATTATGCAAGACATTGAACACCAGCAAAAACTTTAAATGTGACTTTATTTATTTAAAGTGATTTTAACTAAAACGCGTGAGCTGTAAACAATACTGTTTGTTGTTAACCAGGTGATTTGGCGTCACCTGACATGGCCACTTCACAGCAAATACGATAACATGAAAATATTTAACTGACAAGAGATGTCAAAATGTGTTTTCATATTAAATTTATCTATTTTATTATAAATATAGGACAGTTGTACAAAAAAATTTGTATGTGGTTCTTGGTTCATCGACTGCAGTTTTAAATTTTTTCAACTACCTGATAATAAGACAATTTGGAATTGAATGAAAAAACAAAAAATGAGGAATAATTTTGGATGCTTTTTTAGTTTCTGTCTTGTTATGAAAAACAATGGTTTTTCTTTCATTCGAAATAACCATCACGACTAAATCCTATTTTGAAAAATTTCTGTAGTAAGTTATGAAAATTGACATTATTCTCTCTAATATTCATGAAGCTCGCCTTTGACTCGCGTCGACAAACTTCATACTTACTAATAATGGTCACACATCTCGTTCGTTGAATAATGCGGCTATTATCTACTTCATTAGACTCATCAACCGAATTTTTTTCTTGCTGTATCATTTTTTCAGTATCTACGTCATTATTACATATTATCGCTTTGAATAATTTCTCTCATTATATATATCTGAACTACAGAAATATTAGTTCTTTCAAAAGTTTTGTCCGTTTTTATGAGACTAATTCAAACTATTATATCTCAGTAAATACTTAATCAATTATATCGAAATTATCACTATTTCAATCAGTGTACTTTTGCCAACGTAACACAAGTTGACTAATTTCGTCAACATAAAAGTTGGGTGTTCGGGATTCGATGAAGTTGACGAATTTTGTTTTTGACTGATCCTGATTGGCAAAGGTTCACCTAGCGAAAAATTATCAAAGTGCTTGGAAAGATGGTAGTCGGATGTTAAAATGTCTGGGGAGTATGGTGCTTAATTCGTTCAATTTTCAGACAGTGACTTGTGAAACATGCGTAGGAGCGTTATCATAGAGCAGGATTGAACCTCTTCTGTTGACTAGTGCTGGCACACTGGCGCCATGGTCTTTTTTGGTAGGTTTTCGCCCTTGGGAGGAAGTGCCTGGGTGGCTCATCGGAACTGTCCTGAACGTCTCTTGTTGACGTAGAATATCCACTTTTCATCAAACCTGACGATCCGATCCAAAAAAGGATCGATTTTGGTTGCGCAAAAACAAAGAACAGAGCCCGTAACGTAACGTCGATTGTTCAAATTGTGGGGCACCCAATTTTCGAGCTTTCTGACCTCTCTTATACTTTCGAAACCATCAAAAACTGCATTCCAAGCACCGTTTGCGATGGGTCTGTCGCCACCAGGCAAATCCTCGTTCTGTTCGACCACTTCGGAGCTCATCTTCGGAACGAAATTTCGCTTACCAACTTCGAAGAGTGCGTTCATTGAAACTATTATTTCCAAATGACTGGTTAATTTTTGGTGTTGTTTCTGCAGTGCGTTGGTTCAAATTGACCTGAAATCGCCTAATGCTACCATATATTGATGAGCTAAAAAGAGGCAAAATTAACAGCAGCAATACATAGGGTACAAAATTCTCTTTCGACACAGGAGAATAAATATTTATTGAGATGTGGAGCTATAAAACCACATGATATTGACACGGATAAAACTATTGAATCAACCTAATACCCAAAAGCGGGCTCCATATATGTGAGAGATATTCCAAAGAGAATTCAATGTGAGTTAGAGTTTCTGTCTGGCAGTTTTTCTTATGCTTTCAATGAAAAAGTAGTTGCACAACTCTCTACTTGAAATTGATAGAATTTTCATGACTGCATAAACATTTTATCCAAAACGATGATCAGGCTCTGCACAGAAACTATTAGTTCTATAAAACTTCAAAATCTGTTGTCATCCTATCACCTGTGTCATGGAACGAAGAGTTCCAGAAGTTTATCTACGCCATGTAACCAAGACTAGTGAACTTTGACGATGAATTCATCAGTCATTGATGATTACATGGATTATGATTCAACGAAAGTCATTTTTTTGTGGAGGAAAATCAGTTTTTTATCGACCTTTTTTGTGAATTTGTTACCATCCACAATCTGAAAAATATATAAAAATTATAATGGAGAAGAAAATTTTTGGCTTTCTACTACTCCATCTTGATACAAGAAAAGAAGGATGAGGGAGTCTTCCAAAGAAAGGAAGTAACTCTATACATGGATGTGTAGATCATGCAAAGAAGTAACTTTCAGACACAAACTGAAAGAAAGTCCTCCTGAAACAGCTACTTACATATAAATATTGAATTATACGAAGAAATAATACAATACTCATTATATTATATTGGCAGTTATTCCTATTTGAATATTCATTTCTTTACTTCTTCGACAGATGTCAAAATAGTTTCGAAATATGAAATTATGTCAATGTTGTTGATTGACAACTGAAACATTCGGTGTAATACAAGGTGCTCTTCGATATCAGTATGTTGCCATTTCGCCACTATCCACTAGAAATATAATAGAATGTATATATAATATAATAGAAGTAAGTATTTGTTTTGAAATAATTTTTTCTATCGTATAATTCAATGTTTATATGAAAGTAGCTGTTTCAGGAGGACTTTCTTTCAGTTTGTGTCTGAAAGTTACTTCTTTGCATGATCTACATATCCATGTATAGAGTTACTTCCTTCCTTTCTTTGGAAGACTCCCTCATCCTTCTTTTTTTGTATCAAGATGGAGTAGTAGAAAGCCAAAAACTTTCTTTCGCAAAAATTAATCACTCCTAAAAAAAAATATATAACCCCTTCAATTTATATAATGGAGAACTTTATACAAGCGTAGAAGGGCAAACTTTCTAGTTTACCCCGATAAGTTACTGCGTAGAAATCAAAGTATTTTTCACAAAGAAAAATATTCTATTCATCAGTAACTTGTCGTATTTAACAATTTTGCCTATCAAAAAAATTGTTAAGAAATAATACAATACTCATTATATTATATTGGCAGTTATTCCTTTTTGATTATTTATTTCTTTACTTCCTCGACAGATCTCAAAGGAGTTTCGAAATATGAAATTATGTCAATGTTGTTGATTGACAACTGAAACATTTGGTGTAATACAAGGTGCTCTTCGATATCAGTCTGTTGCCATTTCGCCACTATCCACTAGAAATAGACCGTACTTGGCAACCCATCTTGAAGAAAAATTTGGATAGTGGCAAAATGGCAACAGACTGATATCGGAGGGCACCTTGTATTACACCGAATGTTTCAGTTGTCAATCAACAACATTGACATAATTTCATATTTCAAAACTCCTTTGACATCTGTCGTAGAAGTGAAGAAATAAATAATCAAAAAAGAATAACTGCCAATATATTAGAATTTTTTTGTCCATTTCTGAAGACGGAGGCAGATTTTGGCCTCCGAAACGTTAAAATAAGTATTATTTCTTAACAATTTTTTGATAGGCGAAATTGTTGAATACAATTTACTGATGAATCGAAGATTTTTCTTTGTGAAAAATAGTTTGATTTTTACGCAGTAACTCATCGGAGTAAACTAAATAGTTTGCCCTTCTACATTTGTATAAAGTTCTCCAATGAAATTTTTATATTTTTCAGATTGTGGAAAGTAACAAATACCCAGAAATGTCGATGAAAAAATGGATTATGAGTTGTATTAGCAACAGGTATTGGAACATTCATATATGCGAACATTTCTCTCTGATATTTCAGCTCCATGAATGAAGTTTTCATATTTACCTGGACGGAAAACATTTGAGTATGAGTTTGGGTAGAAGTTTCACCTACTAGAAAATTCTAGCACAGTTCAGAACAATCGACACTATTCGACAATATTTCACAACATTCCAAAATATTCCGGAACATCCTTGAATATTCAAGAAAAGTCTGGAATGTTCAAGAACATCTTATATTATCCTGAAATGGTAGTTATATGATGTATTTTTTCTTCATCCACCATCGAAGATGATAGCTTCCGTTCTTATTCAAACGGCATCATTTTGCAGACATGAGTGATGGAAGTTTCACCCTTTAAAAATCTATAGAGCAGTCCACAATATTCCGGACTATTCTAGAGCATTCCACAACATTCTAGAAAATGCTGGAATATCCCGGATTATTGTGAACACTCCAGAACAGTCCATGAAATATTCTGGAACATCATAGACCATTCAGAGCCATTTTTGTATGGTGGAGCCACTCAGATCAGTCGGCCTCTTATAAATTAATGTTCATTCATTCATCCCGACTACAACACAATCTGGTTTTTCTGAGTGAAACTGGGGGTAGGTACCCCAGCTAGTCACTGATAAATATGACACTCCAAAACAAGTACTTTTACTTATCACCAGAACTGTAATACTCTTCTGGACGCGCGTTTCATCAACCAAGTCGGCAAATTCATCTCCTGAAGACGCTAAATTGCTCAGGTAATATAAATAAATATTTGATTAAGATCATTATCGTATCCTACTCAACAGTTTTCCAATAAGCACATTATATACGTGTGATACAATGTTTGGTACCTTTGGTGTATTGATGAATATCTCGAATTTTTCCCCAACACCAAACCGTTATTTCAACACCTCGACACGTGTTTTGATTACCAAGTGATCATCTTCAAGAGAAAGATCAAACAGTAATATTTAAGTACATTATATGTGACCATAATTAAATGGGTATACTTCTTGAAAGATAGGCATATTCTACACATAAACCTTCCTCTTGAATCATCTTTTCCATTGGTTGAAATCGTATGGAAATCGATGAGGTAGTTCATGGATTTCTCGTGTTCAGATAGACAGACAGGGGAATGACTTCAATTGTGATTCAATGATTTATTTTTTATTGAAACTAAACAAATATCAGGTTTTCTGTTCAATTATAGTAAACAAAACAAAAAATTACTCAAATCTAGTTCAACGATGGTTCCAATCATTAGGCAGTATAAACTTCGAACCGATAATGGAGCCCCCTCAGGAACTCAGAAACGATTTTTATTTCTACAAATTCAGAACCAACTCCTCCACCAATTATTGACACTTTTCCTCCATGTCCATCTTCTGATAAGTCTGTTACCTAAAAAAACACCGTCAAATTAAATTTACCAGGAAGTATCAAGCTCCTCAGTACTGTTTTGAATGAAGTGTTTTTGGACATCAGACTTGCATGAATTTGAACCTACATCGACATTTTTTTACAATAGAGAAAACACGAAAGAGTGAAAATTATTGAACAATCTTCTCAAATTGATGAACTATATACAGTATGTTTCCTAAAAGTGATCAACAAATTTCCAGGGGCTAATTTTGTGACAACGTAGGTCGGAAACTTGTAATGAACTGTTTAGAACCTTCGGTGTAGTAATGAATATTACTGGAGTTTTTTCCCAACATCAAACCATTATTTTAACACCTCGACATGTGTTTCGATCACCAAGTGATCATCTTCGAAAACTTCATTGCTTATAACATACAACGTTTTGAACTATTCTGAAAAATGTCTGTATCACTATTGGCGGCAGGTCGTTATATCCAACAGTTATTGTAGATACACTTAATTTCCTAATAGTATCGTTTACATATCAACAATCGAGGGGTATGCAATGAAGTGGTTTCATTTTTTCTGGAAAACAAAACGAGCCACAAAAAAAATTCAGATGTTTCACCTATAAAAACATTGAATGTTACAAGAAATGTTAATGGCGTACTATTTTGGTCAATAATGTTGGCTGAATTGTGTCACGAGCCTTCACTGAACTCGATGATTTGTATCCAATTGAGGCCAAATGAACCTTTTATCACTGAAAATCATATTACTGGATCTCAACAAAATCGGATGAGGGGCATTCACAATGTTGATACAAGTAAGAAATTTTTCAGAAAAGTTCAACACCCTTCTCAATATGCCATCACATTTTTCATTGCAAATTCGTAATAAATCAGTTCATCAGTTTAATTTAGTCGAATGCACGTTCGGACGACCCATTACAATGATAATGATAATGATCATACGTTTATTATTTACCACAAATCTACAAACAATATAGATATAGGTAAATAAAAGGTGAGAGTTCAGATGATATAATAATGACACAAAGAATGAGAAGACTAGAGAAAAGCAAGAAAAAGGAAGGAAAGATATAGAGAAATGACAGGAACATTTTTATATTTTATTTTCACTTTACGATGGCAGTGATTCCTTCAGATCATGAAACCGCCTGGTTGTATGAATCCCCATGTTTGTGCTTCTTGCTACCAAATTATATTCGTATGTGAAAAATAGACAAAACCACATTAAATACTTCTATGTTGATGTTGAAAGTGTTCAAAATAATGGCAGTGGAAATAATTGAAGCGGAAATAATTAGAAGAAACTTCCTTTCTACACGGAACGAGAACTTATCGCAAATAAAATTTATATTCGTTAATAACAGAGACCAGTAGCAACAATGAAGTATCTGAAAATGACAAAATGAGACACATTGATAATTTGAAACAATACTAAAATTATTCTATCAAAATTTTTCAGCTCTACCAAAATTGTGACCTTTGTCAGTATACCCATAAAATTTTATTTTAATTTCTTGTGAATATTCTCACTAGAACTAATAAAATATGAATATAGCATTTAAAATTCCTTCAATGATAAAATTATTATAATTTTGAAAAATACGGATGATTATGATTGAAGAAGCAGTATTTTATAATGTTATTGGCATTTACAAAGATAATCAAACACTATTATAGAAAACACAAAAAAGTTCAATTAATATTAGGAACAAAATTACAGAATTGATCCAAAAGTTTCAATGTATATTTCATTAAAAAATAGGTATAAATTTTATAAACTACATATTACGATTTGATCTCCACGAACTCTATTTGAGAAATATATCAATATAGTGATATCAATATAATGATATATTTCTTAAATGAAGTGTGTGGGGATCGTATCATAGTGTCGTTTATGAAATTACTATGGATGTTCATCAAGTAACGGCCGACTCAACCAGAAAAAAATGGGTATTAGTCAAATAGTAGAATACATAAATCCAGAAGTACCTTATTCGATTGAAAGTAGCATAACAGCATTCATACTATTCGAAATCACGAATTTAAAGCACATTAATAGTACAGGGTCCAAAGAGAGGTCGTCTTTCGGAAATCTTTTCACCATATGAAACATATTCTTCATTTAATGTCCGACAAATACATCACGAATGTGTTGCTAATGGAAATATGTCTGTTACTACCTTCAATTCTAAAGTATTCAATAGTTATTTTGCATGTTACACCAGAAATATCAAGGAAAAAATTGAAAGTTCAAACGTGAAGTTACCAAAAGTAATGCATTTTATTAGGAAAATTCACATGACCTTGTGTGAAGTGATTGAGAACATCTTCATTCTTTATTTAAAAACAGTATATATCATCGAAACTAAGCCAGTTATGACAAGAACAACAAAAAAAAATCACTTGCTAATTACGACTTCAATAAAATATGTTCCTATACAACCACTCCACAATTCACGTCACTCATATGAATGCATGGAAACTGGTAACATGGAACATAACAGACAATATGACATGACAGACAACATTTCCAAGAACTAAATGTTCGGGCAGAACTTTTGGGTAGCTGTATTATGTGACTTTTCTTTTTGGAAACAAAGAAAGTGAAGGATATTTCAGTTTCTCGACAAAACATTTCCGAGTCGATGGATTGGAAAGAGAAATTTGATTCCAAAGGGCTTTTTCTATGAGGATGCTTGAATTCGAAAGTTCTTCAAGGGTTCTCTAAGTGAAAACGAGTTGTCAGTTGCTATTGTTTCAATGATAAACGTATTTATACTATTCTCTACTGAGTCTAAGCTCATAAGCTCAACATATTAAAAACTTTTTTTGGAAATATTAATTTATTCATATGGTAGGTATTCACTAGCTCTTGCCTGGAATTCGAAACGAAATATTATAGAATCTGAATCGAAAATTGAATGAATTATTTTACTCACTATGACGCATGTGATTGTTGAGTTGAACAATCCATTTTCCGGAATGACGACATCAAGTGTGACAGGTCCAAAAATGCTGCCTGGCTTTTCTCTTTCTATAGCAGCTACTAATTTTTGTCTGGAAAAACAAAAGTTGGAAAAATGAAAAACGGTAGTAGTTGAATATTGTCTCAGTAGAGCATTTTTTTAAGGAAAAATACAAGCACTACAGAAAAATCCTCGCGACGCTCTTAGCGGTGCCTGCGCGAAAGTAGCGATTCACGCTGGATTTGAATCGCTGGAAATTAAATCCATTTGGAAAAACGTTCTCAGGAAGTTTATTCCACTCGAGCTCAGTTCTCCGAATGAAAGAGTTCTTAAACAGTGAAGTTCGAGGTGTACTCAATTGAACCTTAAACTGATGAGCAGCCACAGTCGCTCACTTATTTCTGATATGTACCGCTCTTAATGGAATCAAATGTGCCGTGTCACTTGAACACCTCCCGTGAAAGTATCTATAGAAGAGAGACACATCTCCAACCTTTCTTCGATGTTCTAGACTTTCAAGGTTGCAAGAGATGTTCGTGTCTCCAATCAGACGGATGACTCTTTTCTGGATGGAATCTAGCAGCTTGAGGGTATGCTTAGGGGCGGAGCTCCATACATAAGAACAAGACTCTAAAGTCTGATCTGAACTTTATAAAGCATCAAAACTTGCTGATTTGTGTACATTTTTCTGGTTCGGAACAGTGTTCCAAGCTTTTGAAAAGAGGCTTTTGCAAATCCAGCGACATGATTGTGCCGAATTATATTGGTGTCCATTTTAAAAGGATGATGAGAGGAGCCATATTCAAGTTTAAGTTTTTGTGTAGGGATCAGGTGAATAGTAAGAAATAGAAAGCCTCTTATAAGGATTTTGAAGGAATTGTCAATGATTCGATAAAAAAACCTACATGATTTTAAAAAACATTCAGAAAGTTCGATACTATAAAACTGTTCAAAAATATGGGTGAACACCAGAATTAGAATCTGAAAAACGACGAAAATACATTTGACAAGTTTCTAAAATCTATATGAACAGATGGAGTGATAAATATATGACTGACAAGCTTGAGTACTACGGTATATGTGGGATTCCTAAAACACAATTAGGAAGTTATCATTATATCAGCAGAATGCGTGAGAATTGAGTTGATTCTTCATGAAACTTTTTCTCAGAAACATAGATAATCAGAAAAATAATCCATAGTTGGTCCAACACTATTTATTTTCTATGTGAATAACATTGTCATTAACTTTTCTAGGGCAACTTTTGTTTTGCTAATGACACTAACTTCATTTTTCATCACGAATATTTATTGTTACTTCTCACCCTTTCACATGATATTGGAAATGGCATTTCGAACTGTTTTTGAATTGAAAAATTCTTTCTAAACGAAAAGTTCGAAGCATTCACTTCAATCATTACTGAAAAATGGAATATACAGAAAGCATAGTTGAAGAAACTATAAATATGATATATTCTATAGGTCTTACTATCGATAGCAAAATGAACTGGTCTGCACATATTGAATCAAACACTGTAGAATTTTTTTTCAGAGCCAACAAAATAAATACGAATCAGAATTGCCAGAATAGTTCATATTCACAATATCTTACAATTTGGTATAAAGTTCTGGGCTACATCTCAGATGCAACCTCAATACTCTTGATTCAAAAACGGTCGATTGAAACAGGTTCGGATTTCAATTATGAAGGAATCATGAAAAAATACTTCAGAAAATAAAAAAAATTCCCCCTCATCAACTTATAAATAAATGAAGTATCATTCTCATGGTAATGGACTCTATATTTGAGAATGTATGTCAGTTTCATTGTCGATGTTGAAAATATCAATGAATGGAATATTAATAATCACATCTACTTTCAACAAAAAGTGATGACACTGCGTTAATTTTTATTTGCAAGTATCAAATTCTAAGTTCTAATGAACAAACAAGAAAAATAATTCACGATAATCACCGTTCTAACTTCATAAATTAGGTAGTGTTCAAAAAATGTGTTGAGTAATTTTCTCCTCAAAACAAAAATCGACAGATCTGAGCGATTTTTCAAACCCAATTATAAGAAATCGGCCTTGTTTCGTTTCCATTGGTCTACCCTGTATAGGATGAATGTTCGATATTTCAGATCATTTTTTGATATTGGAAGTGATATTGGTGACAGATGGAGTTGGTAGGCGTTCAAAATACGCATATAGTTAACCAGCCAAACCAACTGAAAGTGTGAAAATAGGGGCTTTCACGTCCGTCATTTGGAACCAAAACGTATTTTGATGTTATATTTTTCCAACAAATGTTCGACGTGATTTGTTGGATCGATGTAACATTTTTATTGATGAACTGATTGGGATGAATCAAACACTGAGATCAGCGCAAAAATCGAAAATTATTGGATTGGGTTCTATTGCGTTGATAAACACCTTCATTATATGTATTTCATTAAACAGTACATTTCTTTAATGTCCCCCCTTTTATTTTTTGAACGGGTCAACTCAAAAAATTGAAATTTGGGATAATGAAATTAATGCATGAATACTTTATTTTGAAGTGAAATTAATAGTACAAGATGGCGACTGGGCGCCATCTGAGAAAAAAATTGAAAAGGAAGGGGGGGTCTTGTGATACATCATTTTGATGCTCCTGACGAATACTTCATAACCCTATAATATAAAGTCAATATCTTCATCTACTACAAAATGGCGGAACATTGAATAATTTCCTGAAGATAAACACATTATTATCGATATTTCCAGAAATATTTCTTTTTATCTACCATATGGCAATTCCAACAACCCGATAAGGTTGTTTGTTAAGTTATTTTTTGTCTATAAAAACGAAAAAAAAATGCCAGTATGACAATGAACATCATTGTTCAGTTAGAATATTCTCATTTGGTTTTCGGTTTTACTAGTAGAAAATTGCCGTTATTGGGGTGACACCAACCCTCATGTTTTTCGAAAAACCATATACCGAATATACAGGGCAGGGCAGGAATATTGGTAAAACATATTGTAGCACCTCTATTCATTGATCAAAATTCAACAGAGGAACTGTATTTGAATATGCTGAAACTACTGACCTTCTCATCACTGAAATCGTCGAAGCGAATCCTGATAAATTCAATATGGATATTGTATTCCAACAAGATGGAGCACCACCACATCACTCCAGACAAGTGAGGAACTATTTGGATACTACAGAATGATACTACAGCAAAATGGGTACGAAACTGGACCTGCTACAATATCGGATATACGACAGAGAATACTAAATATTTCTAGAGATATTGACGTTACTTTGTTCGAAAATGTTCGGCGTGAAATATAGAATAGGCTGTTCATATGCCAAGAAGTTCAAAGCGACCATTTCGAGCATCGTCTAAACTAACCTCAAGCTCATTACCACATATTATGTAGTTAAATGTCAATGTATTCAGGCAATTATTCAAAGTTCCCCCATTTTGTAGTAAGTGAAGATATTGACTTAATATTCTAGGGTTATGAAATATTCGTCAGGAGCTTCAAAATGATGTATCACAAAACCCCCTTTTCCAATCAATTTTTTTTTCCGGATGGCGCCCAGTCGCTATCTTGAAAGTTTCATCTGTCAATTTTATTTCAAAATGAAGTATTGAAGCATTAATTTCATAACCTATTCCAAATTTCAATTTTTTCAATTGAACCGTTTGAAAAATTAAAGGGGGGACATTAAAGAAATGCACTGTTTGTACTGATAAATTATGATAGATCTCTGAAAATATATCTTTCTGGATTTACGTTGTGTAACAGTTGATAAAAAATAGAATCTATCAAACTTGCAATGAACATTATGATTGGAGTTTAATTTCTGGAGAGAATTTCCCAAATAGAAGCACATCAGGAGAAATTTGGAAAAATGAAAAAATTAGGTCTGCCCCAAAAACTACTTTTACTACGAATATTCCATTATACATATCTCATTTATTATTAATTTTCAAATGAGTTCATCGAACATTCTAAAATATGTTATAACATAGGCTTCCACGACCGAAGTCACGATTAAAATTCGGGCTGGTAGCCCGTGGTCGAATATAACTTGAGGTACTAAACGTTTCGTTTGCTACTGCGGCTGAAGTCTCAGCAACGATTGACAGTCAATACTTGCTTTGACTTCAAGATATAATCCTCATTCTCGCAGTCAACGCATATACCACAGATGATGTTTGCCGCAGTACTAGACGGAATGTTTGGTAAATCAACAACTTGAATGACAATTTACTCAAACCTGCATACGTTTAGAAACATTTGTCACCGACGGAAACATCATTACTCGGTCTAAATGAGCGGTTTGAGAGTGAAAGTGATTTTCATATCGATGTTTCTCAATTCATTACGTGGTGTAGTTGCTTGATGTTGATGTTCAATTTGAAAAAAAAAATCTCAACAAATCCATGTTCTTAGGGGTGATATTGTGATATTTTTTTACCAAATTAGATCAAAAGCAACATCAAGCAGAGCTTGCAATCTGGTAACATCAAAAGCATTTTTATCATGTTCGGCGGAAAATATGTAATGTGACTTTGAAAAACCCATCAAATATAATGAAGAATACTTACGCTGTTTCCTCTTTAGGACAGTCACGAAAGTTATCACAAAGACATGGACTTGTCCCAAAAATTACGAGTAATACACTAACCAAAAAATATTTTGAGAACATTTTGTCAACCAAAGGTAGCCGTTAACTATATAAACAATATGAAACTTCATATATATACCTCCGATTGAAATGGAATTGATTAAAATATAATGGAGTATGATACCGTGAGTACTATTGATTGATGATATCAAACATTGCCACACAAAGTTACATGTACATGAAGCACTTAACAGCTGTTTGCCTGGGAACAATATATATGAGCAAAACCTAGATTTGCCGACTTTTTCTTCAGCGCCACTTAAGTTTTGATTTTATAAAAACCAAGCAAAACTATAATTCACAATCGCAAACGAAATGGATGAACTTGAGTACTCCAAAAACTACGAGTTTGTTTTTCGCAGAAATATTAAATTCTTTGAATAATTCAACTATCTTTGACTGAAAGGTAGAACTTGAACCTCTGGCGTAGAATGAATCCAAAACAAGCATTGTTTCCGAACAAAAGAACTGCAATACTCTTCAAGACGCCCGTTTCATCAACCAAATTTGCGTCTTCAGAAGTTGGAGTATACTGATTCCTAACTATATAGCTCACCTATTTATATCTTATTTTCACTTACAGATTTTTCTCGTTAAAGTTCTCGCAAATTTTTTCAAGAGTGTTATTGAATAACTGTCCTTTTCTCATGCCACACTTCGCTATTTCCAGACTTTCGTGAGCATCCAGAAGTCTTGTGTCATGTACCTATTCCGATAATTTGGGACGAAATTTTGTTCTCCGGAATGAGGTAAATGTTCTTCGAAACGAGTTTCGATTGCTCGTTTTAACTTACCAATAGACGTTTTGCACCATGTTCCAGAGCCTATATTCTATATTATTTCACACGGAATATCAATAAACTCTGCCTTCAGCTATATCCCTGAAAACATTTTTTTCAATATTCTATCTTGCTTTACTTGAGAGTTGAAAATGCAAGGTGATTCCATCGACTGAGTAAAAACCGCAATGAGTTTTCAAACTCTGAAATTATGAATTTTGGGATTCAAAGATTTTTTTTTATTTCAATAGTATTTCATTCATATTGATAATATTTATAGAGTTATGATCACCAACACCACCTGGTCCATCAGATTCTAGCCTATTACTCACAGGAAAACTATTTCGATACTGTTTCTGCTCCTTCAACTGCTCCACTCTCAATCATCGGTTGAACAGTTGAGTTACAACTAATAATAGGGGGGAGCCCAAGCGGGGATTTCGGAATTTACTAAAGCGCGGCAGATTAATATGCAGGGGGATACCTTGTCCCCGGTTAAGTACCTCCACCAAATATGGCCGCCTGTGAGGGAAAAAGGATCAGATTAGTAAAAAAAATTGATCATCAGAAATTCTTGAGCGCGTCAGATTAAGGTAGGGTTAGTTAATTACCTGCTAAAAAGTGTATATTCCAGTAATCTGACAATTTGAGAGTGACGCAAAGAAAGGGGAGTTTCGTCCTTCAGTTGAAAGTAGCAGTTTCGTATATAGCATCTTCGGATAGCTTCCTCCATAAGATTTGAAATGCTTCTTCGACAGGGACGTTGACGTAGAGGCTTTCCAAGTCGGAACTGATCAGTTGATCCTGCTTTTTGACTTCGACTGCCCCTAGTAGTTCAACAAAATGCCTTGAATTTTTCACAAAGGATGATATTTTTTCTTGCAATGGTTTGATTATTGATAGTTAAAATCTGAACAAGTTGAAAAATATACTCTTTTTTTACAGATTCCTTCAGGCATTTGAAATCAATTTAAATCATATCAGACAATGGAAGTCCAAGCTAATGAAATGCACCAAGAAACATTGTCCGCTACCTCCAAACAGAACTGGCCGATACTTGATGAAAATCCATATTAAAACTAATTAATATAGTTTATTGTATGATTTTCACTATGAAGAGTTTTACAAAAATCGCGACACGTGTTTCGCTATACAATAGCTTCCTCAAGGGTGATCTAAAATTTCCTTCTATGAATAGTATAAAATGGTTGTAATTTAGAATTAACTTTTAGTTTACGCTTGAGAAAGCTGTTGTATAGCGAAACACGTGTAGTTGTTTTTGTAAAACCCTCCATAGTGAAAATCATACTGTATCATTTAGTTTTTTTAAATAAATGTATGGCTTGGAAAGCTGTTCTTTCGTGACACATTTCAGAGGGACGCCCATGGCTGTACGGTACTAACTGCACATTACAGTCAGGAGGCTAATTTCAACAGGTAACGTGTAGCCATCCAGACAGCTCTGGGATTGTACTTGTGGGCAATTCCAGGGAAATTTCAAGGTGCGAAATTCTCACCTTTATGACTTCAGGACACTTTCCACAATAAGACATCTGTACGTCAGCTATACCTGACGACTCATTTGATTGAGTCATACATCGTTATCAGAAAAAATTTGTTTCCTTTTTTGATGCAGAGTACGCTTGTATTGATCAAGAATTTGGTGCGAAGCAGATCCATAAGATATCCTGCTCTTGAAGGGGTACTACCTAGCCTCCTACATTCAACAACAGGTTCAAGAGTTGGAAAGCTGAGAAACCCGTTCTTTTCTGTGACAGGTTCTGTGACTCAGGGTTGAATTCGTTGGTTACTGCATGTTTCATAAAAAATATCATGAGTTACTAGGAAAAAGAGGTTCATCAAGGCAAAGTTTGTCATTAATGTGACGAAATTGATAGTTCGTACTGGAACCTCTAGCGTGAAATTAATGTATTGAAAACACTTTCCCAACACCAGAACAAAAATTACGGTCTCTCAACGACATTATTATATCCGGTTCGGAAACATTTATCTTCTTGAAGAAAACCGATGTCTGGTTATATGACTATTACGTATATGACTATTCGTAAATTTCGAATGACTAGGATATTTGGCAACGAAAATTCTCTGAATGATATGCAATTATTGTGAAACTACTTGAGAGAGTCACTTGAGTATGTATTTCCTGTTCTATTCTATTCAATGATAATGTCGAGAAAATTAATGATACTGATAAAACTGAAAACTTTATTTTTCGATCATGAGTATCACGCTAGATAAAACTTAATTCGATTAGATATGTCTTTCGAAACCGTTGTTTATCGGAATTGAATACGTTTCATCTATTATCTAAAAATTATCAATCACATTTATTAAATACGATATTGCATTATTTCCGTTAGCTTACAATAGTGAACATTTATGAAAAACTGGTCAAATAAGTTGGTCACAGGTATAAATAAGTAGTGCTCTGAAAGCCCATTCATTCGTATTCTCACATTATTTTCATTGAAAATAAAAAAGTGGAAGGAGTTTAGTTTGGCTGACCATACAATTGAAAGGTATACATTGAAAGGGGTATACCTTTAGAAGAGATAAATTTATACATTTAAAAACTTGTGAATCCTCCAAAGAAGAGAAAAAAGCAATCAATCTGAAGAAATGAGCTCTATGCAAAGATGTGTAGAAAGTAAATGTTTCGATAGGGCTTTTCAGTTTGTGTCTGAGAGTTATTTCTCTGCATGGTCTAGACATATTTGTATAGAGTTAATTTATTGAGATATATTGCATTTTTTACTTTGAAAGTTTCCCACATTTTTCTGGATCAGGATGGAGAGATTGTGAGGCACTACTGTAGCGTCCCCCATAGGACGTTCCAACGATAACTTGACCTCCCCTGTAAATCAGAAACGGATATGTAATCGAAAATTTCAAAGAACACATCATTTGGAAGGTATTTTCTCCCTCTATTATCTCTGTGGGTTTTTTCGAAATTGGTTCTCTGTCGCAGATCTTCTGGATTTGTAGGCTCGATAAAGTACACTTCAGGTGTCCCAAAAAAAATACCATTGTTATGAGATTAGGTGATCTAGCTGGCCACTCCACTGGAGCTCTTCTGGTGATCCAGCGCATTGAAAAATGTTCGTCCAAAAACTGTTTCACCCGAAAATCGAAATGTGGGTGTGCACCATCCTGCTGGAATGTTGTTTCATTTTCTAATAAATTGTCATCATTTTCTGAAATTTGTGGAATCATTTGTCTAATAGATTTAAGTATGTGTGTCCATTGAGATTACCTTCCGTGAAAAATGGTCCAACAATATGATTACCAAGAATGCCAGCCCAGACATTAAATTTTTGTGGAGTTTGTGAATGTGTTTCCATCGCCAAATGAGGATTCACATCGCTCCAGTAATGAAAATTATGTCTATTCACTTCACCATTCAACATGAAAGGACTTTCGTCTGAAAAACATTTATTGTATAATAGGTTTGGTTTATTGGTCAATTTCTCGTTGAACACCTTACAAAATTCGACACCTCGAAAGTCGACAATCAGGATAATCTCCGTTTAATTCCTGAACTAGCCTTATTTTGGAAGGATGGAATTTGTAGGCTTTCAAAATCCGAAAAACGATAGTATCTGATACACCAGATGCTCTAGGTACTTGTCTGATAGATTGTCGATTATCCGTTTGTACATGTCCTCAAATTTCAACTTCAACTCCGTCATTTATGACAGGACGGAAGACTTCATGTTTTCTGTTGTGAACAGAACCCGAGGTTCGGAACTTATTCATCAACTATTTAACGAATTCAGCACATTCATTATTTCGATAATAGGTTGCAACAATTTCTATTATTTCTTCATAAATAGAATAAACCATGTTGAAACACAGTGTATAAGGATTACTGAACAATAATTCGTGGAGAAATGACAATGGCCATCTACCTTCTTTTTATTCTGCGACAACTAAATTCAAGAAAAACTAGCAGTGCAGAAAAAACTAACAGTGTCATCCACTTCAAAGCGTTTACTACCAAATAAATTTTACAAATCTAGAAAACCTTCGACAGAGAATTGTTCGAGAACGCCGATTTCTGACTCCGGACTATAATATTTTATGGAACTAGATGAAGGTCATTTTGAACACTTTATCCATTGATTGTATTGCCATTGATATTACTCTTGTTGATTTCTTCAATAAAATGAGCGACAGCGAATTTTCTGGTTTTTCTTAAATAAAACGTTCAGCATTCAATTTCTCAATAGCGAATGAACCAATTTTGAATAAAAAATACAG